GCCTTAGTCACTTTTCTCATCTCCGGGACAAAATACCTGACACCTGCAACTTAAAGGAGGAGAGGTTTCTTTTGGATCACGGTTTCAGAGGTCTCAATTCATGCATGGTCAGCTGACTCTACAGCAGAAGTGTCTGGTGGAGGAAAGCTGCTCATGTGATGGTGGCCAGGAAGTAGAGATAGGAAGAGCTGGAGAGAGAGATACACCTCTCCAGGTCACACCCCACAGTGACCCACGTCTAACTAGGCCATCCCGCCTAAAACACACTCAGCTGCTAAACTCACTCATGGATGAATCTGTTGATGAGTTTAGTGACCCTCTGTCCAATCACCTTCCAAAAGCTCAACCTCTGAATACACGAAAGCTTTGGGGTACATTGTAGATTCAAACCATAACAAGGCCTTATCTCTAAATACAACCACATTGTGAGGTACTGGAAGTTAGGACTTCAACATGAATTTGGACAGGTGGCAGGGCACAATTCAACCTACTGCCCTCTCCTCCCAGGTACAAGTCACCATCCAGGCCTCCCATTGCTTTCCCCCATGCTCCTCCCAGGCACTAATCTTGGCCCTTTTCCAATGACTCTCTCCAAGACTAGGGTTCACTATTCCTGGGGAGTGCTTTGCCAAGCAGTCCTCTAAAATTAAACGTGTGGGCTCTGAAAAGCTGAGATGTGAGCTAAGGCTGAATTCTCTTTAGAAGGCATTTCCTTCCCTCTGTGGGCATACCACACAGGGGTCCCCAGGTTAACCAGGGCAATTATTAGTAAATAGAGCATGGTTGCCTCAAAACTCTGATGGATAGGTCATAGGAATATGGATGCAAATGCATTTTTAAAGCTCACTGCAGGGATTGTTGGGTATAATGGAAAGTCATTAAGCACATTAGCTGCTGATTTTATAATTAAGTCCAAACATTTTCTGGATGCTAACCTAAGTAACAGGAGATATTGGCCATTTGCAAAACATGTTTCAACAAAAAAGATTTAGAGACAAGAAGTGCCTTTCATCTTAATTATTTTTTTGCATCATAAAAACCTCAGGAACAATGCTTCTGCAAAGCCTTAATGGATGTGGAGCAGCTGTAGAAAACATCTCACTTCCTTTGTTTGGAAACAGTGTTTTACATTTGGAAAGAAGAGTTCTGTCCAGCTGATTTTATTCCAAGGAGAGGAGGAATCTGAGAGAGAAATCTGTGCTGTCTGAGGGGTATCTATCTGTGTCCATCAAACACCTGTAGAATGTCAGAGACAAGGGCTGAAACTGTGCTTGTTTGCCTGTTGGGACTGCTTCTTCAAGGTCTCCTCTAAAGCAGCTGGCAGCTGAGTTTACAGCAGAGGGTGGAGCATGAAGCATCACACCCTGCCCTTGATTACCAAGAAGCATACTTCCTGATGAGTAGAGAGAGAACACTTCTCTTCTTCTGATCCTCTCACAGGCCATCACCGTCAGCTTGGACTTATTTTCCTATAGGCCTAAAGTAAAGTGATAATCAGTCAAACTTCAGGAGCAGAGCTATGCTTGTGACAAAGTCACACACACCCAGCCAGGCAGCCTGGCCTGCCCTCAGTGCTCTTAGATGTGAACCCATGGCTAATGTATTCTATGTCCATAGGGTCTGGCAGTGGCCAGCCTAATCATGAACCCCAGGACACAGCATCCTCTGCCTCACAGGACAATACATCTGTCTTTACTTGTGTAACAAACAACTTCAAATTTAGAGGTTCAACATATAACTATTTAGCCTTTCTCAGAAGTCACTGGAGCTGGGTGAGCCTTGGGCAATGTGGGTTGGGCTGGCTAATGTGTCTGTGGTCAGTTGGCAGATCTACTTGGGGCTGGTTGACCTAGGATGATGGCTTTTCCCATGTGTTTCTCACACCCTCCTGTAGATAAACCTGGACACATCCCCATGGTCATGGCACAGGTCTAAGAGAAAATCAGATCACTCCAGTGCTTTCAGTAAAGCACCACTCCCACTGGTGAAAATAAGTCACAAGAATTAGTGTGAGAGCACTGCTGAAAAATCAGTGAGGCACAGGAAATTAGATCTTTAATGCAATTTATAAAGACATGACCTCCTGTGCTGTAGACTGTCTGATTGCCAGGCTCAGTTACGCCGTCTAAGTGAGATCAGACTGGCTCAGCTTCCCCTCCCTTTCCTGGAGGGATAAGATCTTACCCCTGGGACTCCATTCTGGTCAGGACACTGTTGTGAATAGGGGGATTAGACCATGAGCACCTCTGGAGAATTGGCCAAACTCCACACCCACTACAGGTTGGGGACTCAAACAATACATTACCCAGTGTGCTGTTAGACGACAGGTTCTGCATTCAAGATGCAGCTTGACTAAACTCAGTTTTCATCCCTCACAGAAAAGGCCCTCACTGCTCTCAGAGTGGACACTGGTCCCAGTCACACCTGGTACTTCTGCCTGCCTTGCCCAGCACTGGCAGCAGTGAACTGCAGGAAACAGAGCTGTAGAGCAGTGAATACCTGAGCAGTAGACATGACCCAAAATAAGAACCCCTTGGTTACTTTCTCTAGGTAAGAGAGCTTTCAGCTCCACAAATGTTTAATCAAGGAGTTCAAAAATTAATTATTGAACAAATACTATATTGAGTGCAAAGAAGAATAAGATTGAGTAAGGGACAAAGAGGCATGTAGGAGTGTATGCACATGTGTGTGGGTATGTGTCAGCATATGCACACATGCTGACACAAGTGTATACATATGTGGTTGGGGGCCTAAATTGCATTTGGGCGGCGATTTGAATGATTTGAGGGAGTAGGCTACTGGATATTTGGGGAGAACTGCCTAGCTGCATAGAGGATAGTACTCACCTGTTTGAGGAATAGTGAGGCCACGAGTGATGGTGTTACTGAACAAGAGGGACAGTAGTTGGTCATGAAATCAAAGAGCTAGTGGGCTCTTGATTGTGTTGGACCTTGTAGGCCAGGAATATGACTTTTCATTTGTTGCACATGAGATAGGAAGTAAGATAAAAAGATTGGTTAATGGAGTTAAAAGGGACAGAGGAGCATGGGTGACTCCCAGATGTCTGAGCTCAGCCCCTGAAAGAATGAAAATGTTATTTGCTGAGAACAGAGAAAGTTGAAGGAAAATTGTATTTTGAGGTTTGGTGTTTGTGTGTTGGTGGAGAGAGTGGATCAAGAATTATTCCACTTGGACATATTATATTTGAAATATCTGTAAACTACTGAAGTGGAGGTGTCAAATACGCAGTTGATTTTTATGAATTTCAAGCTTGGAGGAGCATTTGGGGATAGAGGTCTAAACTCAAGAGTTGTCAGTGTAAAGATGATGCTTACAGCCATGGGAATGGATGAATTGTCTTGGAAAAACACATATGTGGAGGACACAGGCTGGAGCTGAGAAGTGGCAGCATCACATATGGGGCAACCCACTGTTAGCATTGTGCCCTTTTGTATGGGGCTCATGCTGGCAAAGAGTCCTCTTGGAACATCTTAGTGGCAAAGAAACTGCTTAGAAAATGGTCTTAGATACCTACCACCCTCTGCTATGGAGAACACAAACTGATGTTCCCTAGAATATATTCATAATGGAAGATATGATGCTTCTTCAATAGATGATAAATAAGCCCATGTATTTAAGCAAAGACAGAAGTGATATCAACATGTGTACTGTGGTACCCCTTGGCTGAGTATACCCATGAAACTCCTTTAATATGGTTCATCAGATAAATAATGATTGTAAGAAAAGGGTAAGTACTTGGGGGAGGCAGAAGGGAATGTGCTACGTGGAGGGCAAGACAGCCTCCCAGATTGATTCATTGGCTCTTGTTGACTGTTTCCACACCATAAATCTCAGTTGAAAAGTCTTGCTGTATCCAAAATGAGGGCCCAGAAACTCTAAACAAGAATACAATGGCTCACCAGGGAAGGCATTAACCGACCTAAATGCTGCTTTCTCTCCCTGAAGAAATCTCCTCCATCTGTGCTGGAGTCGTTATCTCTGCCTTCCTTGGAAAGGAAAAAATTTACACTATCAAAAACAGAATTTGTGTGGCCACCCTGACTTCAGAGATATTAAATGATAAAGTTTCCCACACAAGAACAGAATGAGACCTAAGCCCCCACTTCCCTTGCTGGGCAAATGAAGATGGAACCATATGTATAAGTGCCTAAAGAAAAAAGGGAATAAGTGTGTTGATCTCTGATCCATACACTGATCTGATACAAGCACTCTTTCAAAGACCTTGTCCCTGAAGAAACTCATGCTAATTGCTTGGTTATCTTCTATGCAAGTTGTCTTCTAGTTGAAAAATGTTCATGCCACTATATTCTTTCCACAGAGACAAATCAGTTAGCTTTTCACAGTGTATTGCTGTGTAACTAGCCATCACCAAACTTAGTGGCCATTAACAGTGAGAATTTATTTCTTGCCTATGCATCTATGGGACAGCTGAAATTGGCCCATGTATCTCTTCTCCACATATTTTCATTCTTGTGCCCAGGATGAAGTGTTGGCATTTATCTAGAAGGTGGTCTTCTAATAGTGGAGATTGGTAGTTCTCAAAAGGGTAAGTAGTGTTGCTTATACCCTTCTGGGCAGGCTCAGAAATGGTGTACTGTCCCTTCCATCCACATTCTCTGAGTTAAAGCAAGTTACATGGCCAAGTCTTATGTCATAGGATGGGAAAGTATACTGTTTCAATGAAGCCTAGGAAAAGAGAATGAATATTTACAGCATAATAAGCTAATCTCTACAGGGAAGAATATTAATATTTGGTGTATAGATAAGAAAATTGAAACAAATAAGATCAATGTCATTTTTGTGCAGTAGTTCTCAGTTGGAACTTGGAGAAGGCAAATTGTATTGATTACCAAAATTGTTATTCTTTAAGGTCTTTGTTGTGCTTGGTCAGCAGATACATTTACTGTCTAGAAAGGAACTAGTTGTTCATTTTTGTTCATCAAATATGTTCACCAAGACACATTTTCTCTTTCTCCTAGGCATATGGACAGATATTTCTCAATCTCCAACCAGCCAAGATTGCACAGCTAGAAACTTAGGTAAGTCAGGAGTGAAGCCTGGCCACAGGACTCTTGAATGTGTGTGACTAACTGCTGTGCCGGTTTCCCAGCCAAGTGGATCGTTAGCTCTGCATGCAGTCCCTCCTCCAGGCAGCCTGTGATGGTCACCTCAGAGACCAGTGGCTGCTTTCTCAGTCTCTAGTGACTCAGCTTTCCAGGAGCAGCCCAGCTCTCACTCTCCCTTGGCCCAAATCCTAACCTAGGGCTGCCACCCTCTTCACCCTCATATGGCCTGTTTGGGCCCAACCCTGCTCAAACAGTCGCTTGCATTTAGTAGCCTTGGCCTGCCCTGTGGCTCATCCACACTGGAAGGCCACACCTCCTGGAGACTGTTCTGTTTGCCCTGATGATGGAGAGAATTTCCAGATTGCTGAAGCTGGGAGCCATGGGAAAAGTACCGTGAAGTCTACCATGTCACAGCAGTGGACTTTCCCTAACGATGATGAATGTGCGGCTCTCCCAGACCCCTGCCAAAGGGATGTAGACACTCCCCTGCTAGTTTAGGCTTCTTCTTTCTCCTGACTGAGGCTGAGCTCCTGTCCTTGTCACTTAACATCAGTGTCAGTTTCCAAGGAACAGCCCAGGGCAACTCACAGAGCCAGTGAGGCCCAGCCAGCAAGGGCTGGTGAGTGGGGATCATCTGTGAATGCAGAGCTGTGTTGCTAAACAACTGAGCCTAGTCCTCAGCTGTCCCTGAGCAGTTGTGGGCCACGCCTGGAGTGGACCCAAGGGTACGGCCCTGTGTAGACCAGTGGTCAGATGCCCAGCAGCCCTGCTTGGAGTGTCTGCTCTATCACATCCTTTAGCTGGAACACTATTCACTTCCCAGTCTGCTGGCTCAGTTTTCATGTGTGAATAATGGGACTTTTAAAAATCAGGCCACTCTATAGAATAAAGGTCAATTTGAGAGGCAGAGAAAGGGCTTTGCAGAGCACCAGCTCTTATGACATCCACCTAGGTCACTGCGTCCTAAGCAATGCTTGGTCTACAGTGTTTTTCAAGAAAGTGTTACTGCTGTGCAAGAAAATTGTAGACCCCTGTGGGGTCCTGCTATGGGCATCTTGTAAGGTGGGCTTATACCAACTTTGGGCTTCCCCTTATTCCTCTCTGTGGTAAGAGCCAGTCTGTAGCTTCAGGGTAAAGTGAGCTAGGTGGGTTTTCCAAGAGGACAGCTGTCAGCTGGCTCTGGACAGCCTCCATTACCTGTGTCAGTCTGTTCCCCATCTAGGTCAGCACCTTGCTTCTAGGATGGAGAGGTTCGAGTGCCTTGATGTAATTGAAAAGCAGGCAATGATAAGGGGAATATGCAACACCAAGACACTGGGGAGAACATCTGAATTGCTTGGGCCATGAGAGGGTGGAAGGTTCCAATGTGGAGTAGATAGGAGGATGGCCTTTGAAAGAGGGCCTCCTCTTTCACCATGGTGCATTTAGCAAGCTCTGGTCTATGTGGCCTCATCTTTTTAAGTCTAGTACTAATGGAAAGTCCAATCTTTCCTCACGTTATTAAGGGTATTGTCTTGGTTCGGATTTCCCAGAAACCGAGCTGGAGACTCTGGATTTGAGTGTGAGGAATTTATTTGGGAAATGGTCCTAGGAAGCTCCAGTGTAAGAATAGGGGGAGAGAGAGAGAGGTGTGGTAGGGTACAGCAAGGCTACTAAAAAGACATTCATGACTTAATCCCTGAGACTTGTGACAGTGAAGGGTCTTGGGATGGGAACGGCATCCAGATTATCCAGGTGAGTTCTAAATGTAACCAAATAGCTCATAAGAAGGAGGCAAAGGGAGATCAGACCTGGGAGGGGAGAAGGCCACAAAACCGCAGTGACAGAGGTTGACGGGACATCTCCAGAAGTCAAGGAATTCCAGCAGCCATCAAAGGTTGGAAGGATCCTGCTCTTGAGCTGCCTGAGTGAGAACCACCTAGCTGACTTGGGACTTTTGGCCTCCAGAAATGTGAGAGAGTATATTTCTATTGTTTTAAGCTATCGAGATTATGATGATTTCTCCCAGTGTCCTCAAGAAACTGTTGCTGCAAGGAAAGGAAGGAAGTGGCTCTGGTGCGTTAATGAATTTGTCACCTCTCTGGGTGACTGGGCCCAGTCCAACTAGGGAAGATCACACCTCCCAGTTGTCTCACAGGAAGACTAGGACAGGGGAGGTTCTGTTCACCAAGTCTCTCAGGTGATATCAGAGAGCTAGCTCTTACTGGGGACATCAACTCCCTGGCAGCTCTGGCCTGCTCTGTGCCCCAGGAAGGGGCTGTCTGCTCTTGGAGGCCAAAATCAGAATACTTTTTGTGGTTTTCTGCAGAACAAAGCAGCCAGCATTCTCCGGAATAGTGAGTGTATGGGGCCAGCGTCTGCTCTGGGGGTCCATGGTGGTGGCAGAAGTCAGGTCAACTTGGTTAAACTGTCTTTTCTTCTGATGTCCGGAACCCAAACAGCAAGCTTCTTCTCACTCTCACAGCCCAGGATCCCATCTCCTGTCTAGAGCGGTCCTCTTCTGTTTCCTATGATGCCTGAAAGCTCTACCTGAGCTGGGGAAGAGACAAGCTGTTGAATATGTACAGATAAAGGTTTTAATCTCATCATAGTTATAGCAAGAAACAAAGTGAGAAATTGATTTGGACACAGGATTGTAGAATTGAACTTCTTCCCTGCAACTCAAATTATGGTGAGAAACATCACCTAGGTGTCCTCATGGCCCACCCTCTCCTCCTGCCATTACTTCCCTAGAGCACATTTTCCTGGAGTTGAAGTGTGTTTGGGCAATGTACTGAGGACACCAGGAATATTAACTACCAAGGCAGGGTGGTGTACAGGTTACCCTCAGGCTTACAAATAGTGTTATAGTTAGTCTTGGTGATGAGAGAGGGAGGATGCTATTGTATTAACCTTTGAAAAACTATTAACCATTATTAATCATAAACCATTATTAACCAACCCATTTTACAGCAGAGTAAACACAAGCTTCTTGCCTTACTACTCAAAGTGTAGTACCTTGGCCAGTACTGTCAGCAACACCTGAGATCTTGTTAAAAACACAGAATCTCAGCTCTGGGCTCTGCATTTCACCAGGTTCCCAGGCAGCTCATTAAACTTTGAGAAGCCGTGATGTATTCAACCCACCAAGAGCTGAGTCTTACAGACTCAGGGAGGAAGCAGGTGACCAGTAGTCACCCTAATCATCTCCAGGAGGCCTCTTCTAGAAGATGTGCTGGGAGCTGAACACATGGTCTTCTTTCTGCTTCTGGCTGCCTGCAATTGTGGAAGATCCCTTTCTCACGGTTACCCAGCTCTCCAGCCCTCTGCCAGTGTGAGATGTGAGAAGTTGCCACGTGGTGTCATGTGGCCAGGAAAAGACAGGCCACTTCAAATTTTACTGGAGGACCAAGACTTTAGGGTCATAATTTTAGTAAGTTGCCTCTCTGGCTACCTCTCTGGCCCCTGTGCTTGTTGTTCTAGGCCACTGGGGGTGAGGGACCTGTGCTTCCCTCTGCTGTCACGAAGAAACCCTTTTCTGTCCCTCTAGGCCCTTGCTCTGGTAGAGACTGTCAGAGTCTGCTCCTTAAACCAACCAAGGCTCCAAGTAGCCCTGTGTCTTTCCTGTAAGCTCTTTTGAATTCTCTTGTGTGTGCAGCATCATGGAGAAGAGCCGCCTTGTTATGCCAAAGCCAGCTTCTCCCATGAGCCTTTGTTACACAAATAAAGTAGATGTTTGCCTTTGTTCCTCATGCTCCACTTTCTTGCACTCCCAGCACAGGCTTTTAACAGAGTTTATTATAAATGGAAAAGAAAGCAGCTAACACTGCAAAGGGCACCTGTGCATTCTTCTCCTTCTAGCTCCTGCCCTTCTCTACTGCCTGTGTTTTCAATAATGAATGTCACAGGGGGCCAGGGAGATGAATGGGGACTGATAAGTGCAAACCATTATTGCACTCAGCTCTCTGGAGTCAGTGAGGGGTGTCACCGGCTGAGCCCCTGCCTGGCAAACAGCAGAAGGCACTTCCTCTGCCAGCCCTTGCATCCCTCACGTCATCCACTCCAGGAAGCTTCTCTGTGTGGGCAGGGACTTGAGGGACTGATTCTGCTTTGCCACCAATGTGCTGTGAAGCCATGATCACGTAACCCAGGCTTCAGGGCCTGAGTGTCTTCTGTGCAGAGTGAAAGCTTGTTCTTCCTCCCCTCTAAGGCTCCAGGACTATACAGGCTAAGATATTCCACTCTGGACAAAGAATGAAATATAGAGTCCCAGAGGGCGTGTGTCTTACAGTACAGGCCTGTAATGCCAGCACTCAGCATGTTGGGCAGGGGATCACCACTGGTTTAAGGCCAGCCAGGGCTACATAATAAGATTAAGGCCAGCCTGAATTGTATTTTGAAACTCTTGTCTTCAAAGAGAAGGGGAGGGGGAGAGAGAAAGTACACAGACTGCTGTCTGCTCCATAGTGCCTTCTATGGGTCATTTTCTGTCCTGGGGCCCTCCAGAGGACAAGACCACCTTTCTTGCCGTTGGAGTTGTGGGTCATAGACATGCAAACATTTGTAAAATGCTGTGCCTGAGAGCAGGGTGGTTATGGCCATTACCCTTGAGTCTGCTGGTCCACAGCGTGTGTTGAGATGGAAAAAGGGTCCAGGTGGGGGGCTATGGTTGGGGGGACTTTCAGTTAGGGTAAAACCTGAAGAGGGTGGGAAGGGAGGACTGTATACTGGAGTGATGACCACAAAACCCTTGGCACCTTTAGTGTGTTTTAAGTTTTTATTTCACCCCTACTCCCTCATCTCGGGTGCACATTGTGTGGTCCCCTTTGCTGTGGTGAGATCTAAGCTCCAGGTTCCAGTCTGCCCTATTTCAGTCATCACTAAGGTTATTGCTCTCCTGCACAAACACATCTGTACCTGCTGACAGGGCCTAAAATTGCACCGACTTTTTTTCTTTTCAGTGATGTTTTCCTTTGGACCATTGGAACTTAGGGCC